ATAAAGAAAGTAAGAGTAATGTAATAAAGTGAGTAGGAGTAATTTATTGAGGAGGGTAGGAGTAATTTCATGAGGAGTAATTTAATAACATTAGAATTTTAAGAATAATGACGGAAGGAGTAAGTTAATAGAAATAAATGTATTTCAATAACCTATTGTGCCAACGCACATTATCATTTTTAATAATAGTTGTAATCGCCATTAAAGAACATCGTTTTCTTGGACCACAATCAAGAAATACAAACATTTTCATCGATTAGGAACAAAACTTTTTAATCTATTTAAAAGACAAAAAGGATTCAAGTTCGTAACTTCTTCTGTTGGCTAAGGTAATATAGTTAAACCTTAAACGACGAGCATCATCAGTTTCATTTTTCATTGGAGATCAACGGAAATCGTCAATTGATGATTTAGACATTTTCCAACGTTACAGTCATCATTGAATTCATGATTTAAGTCTAAATGACTAATTGACAATAGTCCTGGGTATGACGATAAACTACATCCGGCCGCAAGGCGTTTGATCAGGAGATTGGAAGTTTTGAGGAAAGTGCAAGTACCTCTTAACTGCTGTTGTTCCCAGATCCACCCTGACCAGGAGTGGTAGCATCTGTTGGAGGTCCCAGTCATGGGCAAATACTGAACCCCCCAAACAAAAACAAAACACTATGAAAATATAAAAATACATTTTTATAGTAAAGTTACCAACAATACCCATTTGCAGTAAAATTACCAACAATACATTTTAAAAACAATTTGAAGCTATGAAATTGTGTTCAAAATATTTAGATATCGGCATTACATAACCCACAGAGGTGTTGATATGCTGCTAATCAAAATCAACCAACCAACTGTCAAATCTAAGATTCATGAGATCAACGGAAATCGTCAATTGATGATTTAGACATTTTCCCACGTTACAGTCATCATTGAATTCATGATTTAAGTCTAAATAACTCATTTTTACATCTATGATTCATCAGATTACGGTTTCCTAGGATTAATTTATTTCCTGGAGAATTTGTCTGCAAATAAAACTGAAAGAACAATCCGAAAACAGTACTGTTTGCATGTATATTCTCGAAGAATTTTGTTTGGTTAAACTTGTATTTTCACCTTACAAGATTACCTGTAAGGATTTTAAAACCGATCAAGGTAACAAGATAAAAAAAACTAGATGAAATGAAACCCGGCTTAAAGTAAATTTTTAAAACAAGGCAGAGGCAAAGAAGGGAAGAAAAACGGAAAAAAGAAAAAGTAAAAGAAATAGTGAAAAGACAAAGAAAGGGTAATAACGCCTAGATATGGGGATGGTAGCAAGAGGCAGACACATGTAGACATGACATTTAGGTATGATGTACATTATTCGGACAAATTTGCCATATTTACTACAGCGTTTCTTCAGGTGGTTGGAATGTCGAATTTAACTGGGGTAGACTGTTCTAGTTCCACGTTTAATGGATGTCAGTTATCAGTTATCTCCTGTTAATTTTCCTCTGAAAGTTCTCCACTGCCTTAACCGAGTATTGAAATCATACTCATTGGGTTCTGTCACTGGATCTAACCAACACCTTTATCCAATGTGCCATGTGTCCTCTAGAACATCTGTGTATGCATTTCTGGGTATTATAAACCTAACATCTTCAGCAACCATTTTTACCAGTGCTCATATTGCAATCTTTTGCTGTTGTCATTGCATGTTTTTTTTTACAAGATCTCATATTGCAACTTTTGTTGTTATTATCGCTTTTCTCTGGCACTCCTTATTACGGAAGAAGAACGGAGTGTACAACGGACGAAATGTTGTAATAAATATGGCGACAAAGATGCGGACAATAGTCCGAATAATGTAAATAATGTGACATTTATTGTTTTTAAATTTATTTTTAATTTTTTAAATTTTTATTTAAAATTATTACTTATACTTTAATAATTAATTATTTTTCTATTTATTTTTATGACTATTATTTTATTTATTTAAATTATTTCTTTTAATTTTTTCTATTTCTAATTTATTTCTATTTGTTTATAATAGGTTTCTCATTTTTAAAATGGTATTTTTTAAAGGTTTTATTCTTTTATATATATATATATATATATATATATATATATATATATATATATATATAATTAATTATATCTCTTTCTTATATATTGTTTCCACCTATATAAGAATAGTATTATATAATAATATAGTATAATGATTATATATTATTTAATTATTTATATATTATAAATATTATTTAATAACGGGATATTAATAATATATAAGGTAATTTTAATTCCTTTTGATTGTAAAATTCCACTTCTGATTTCTTCTGACTCTACTTTTCTTTTTTTCTCACTATATCGTTTCCTGTGAGATTACTTATTAAATTGGTCAATGTCTGGTCCTTACCCCCCACTCCGTCACTACTAAATTTTGTAATAAAATTGAATCTAAAATAATTCCTATCTCTCCCTTCCCTCTCCAATTTCGACCATGTCTGTCACACTCCCTCTCCGCATTCTCTATATCACGTTACATCAACTTAAAACTACCCCCATCAAAAGTCTATTAAAAATATACGTAAATTTAAATTAATTTTTTCACCTTTGGAAGTGTGATCTGATGAGCCAGGGAAAAAAGAAATCCCCTGGAGAAATAAATTATAACCAATGGACCCTTAAAGTTGTCTGTTTTCATTGAATTACATATATATATATATATATATATATATATATATATATATATATATATATATATACCTTTTTATTAGTATATAATGGTTCATGCTCTACATTTTGAATTTTATCTACAGGCCCCGTTAAGAAGCTTCCTGAATATAAAGAAATTATTAAAAAATAATGCCTCTGATAATTTTGTGTCTGAATAACCTCCACCACCACTTCAAGAAATAGAACGTCATATTTTACTAAATCCATGATACATCTGTCGCTGGCATATTCTCCACAATAGTCAAGGATTGACATGTCCAAGCGCCGGTTTTATCGTGACATGAAAAAATAACTCACACATCTACAACTTCTGACCTTATTTTTCTATTGAAAGCTTTTATATAGCGATTTAAAATGTTTTATTATAATCTCTTATAATAATATATATATATGTGTGTGTGTGTGTTGTTAAAATGATCTCAGTTTATTCTACAAAAATGTTTTCGAGAGTATAGATGGAGCATTTATATTTTGAGGCTGTATATGACAATGAAGGGCGAAACAGCTCGTCGCCATGGTGTGCTAATTCTTATCTTCACACTAATTTTATATATATATATATATATATATATATATATATATATATATATATGTATGTATGTATATAAAAGTGAAAAATTGAAGTCAACACGTAGAGGCGACAGACTGTTTCATGCTAGACGCAATCGTCAGGCCACCAATCGATTGCGTCTAGCATGATTGCCTCTAAGTGTTGACTTCAAAGTTCACTTTTGTATTTACACACGTTCTATCTCTGATATTGAGCACTTTATCCCATAAATATAGCAAACCATAAGAGTATATTTCCACACACACACACACACACATATATATATATATATATATATATATATATTGCATAATAAGTTTTAAAAATAATTTTAAAGAATATTACAGTCTCTTCTTTGTTAATAAGCGATATTTTTCTTGGTATATTTTGTAATTAGCTTAGTTATTCAATAAAGGACGTAAATGTATCAATGCGGTTATAAGCACGCAATATGTATTCGGCGAACAGAGTTCAAATTCTGATTTTCTCACATATGCCCTTGGGGAAGGTAGGAACACGGATCTATTTCTTCCAGATTTGGGTAAAATGGCAGAGTAAACTGTGATTTCTAACCGTGGGTGGCAATCAGACTAAGGGAATGAAAGCTCAAAATTCAGAAACCATGGAAATGAAACCACTATCTTTCCCAAGATTGCATGTCATTTTTATAAATAAATAAAATTAATTTGTCGAGAAACACGATTGTATATGTCCTAAACGGATATAGTATGATAATAATTCACTATAGAAATTTGGCTCTGAAAACCAACTTAGCATTTCGATCAAAGCTCACGTGTAAACTAGTAAACAGAGTTTGTAATATTTTTTAAGAGGATTTGGAAAATCTACCAAATATTAAAATTATGATATAATGGCCAAAACTTTTGTTCGGTTATTAATTAAATTTTCTAGTTAATAATCGAACGAACTCTTTGGCCAAACCAGTAGGACAAGCAGCGTGAGAAAAAAAAATTCCCGATCATTTCATCTTACAAGAAAAGAACAGTTTCTTTCAGAGCTGAAATGATAGTTTACACACGCAGATGATTTCATTATAGTGGTGAATCTTTCTGTAGAAACAAAAATATATTACTGAGATTTGATAACAGTATGTCACAAACGCCCACCTTAGTTTTGAAATCAAAGTTACCAACTTCATAAACAGGTTGTAACACGAGTCAACCAAAATCTGTCCTGGCATTTGCTTTGTTTTTACTTTAATTTTACGTTCTGTCACAAATTTCATTACCTGCTCTAAGGAGAATATATTTTCCCAGTTTTTCATCCTATAAATTTCTACTGGATTGGATAAAACATTCGTTCGGTTATTATGTAAATTTTCTACTTAATAAGACGAACAGACTTTTGGCCAACCCAGTTTACTAAAGTCGGCTTGACCACCTAAAATGAATTATGATTGGTATATATATATATATATATATATATATATATATATATATATATATATATATATATATATATATATATATATATATATATATATATGTTAGCCTATCTTTAGTATGTAGGGGATATCAGATTGATAGTATATATATTGTTATTCATTTGGTTTCGTAGCAGTTCTCTTTGCATATTGTTTTTTAATTTGATGATTAAAAAAATTACATTTCCTTATTGCGTACAAAAATTGAGTTAATTGTTTGAATAGAATTGATTACTTATAGAAAAATATAATGAAATCAAATGCAAAGTAAACTATTTTTAACGTTACGGATAGATAGATAGAGAGAGAGAGAGAGAGAGAGAGAGAGAGAGGGTGGGGAGGGAGAAACTTAATATAGTTTAGGCTGAGATAAGGCGACTGCTTTGGTGCATACTTGAAGATAGAATTTGCGAGATTAGTTTTCTTAATATAGGATTATGCATGAAAATTGTACAAATAAGAAAAACAGAAAGAAAAACAAGCAAATAGAAAGAAAGAAAGAAAGAAAGAAAGAAAGAAAGAGAAAAGGTAATTTAGGAAGAAAAAGAAAAAATGAAAGAACAAAAGAAAGAAAGAAAGAAAGAAAGAAAGAAAGAAAAAAAGAAAGAAAGAAAGAAAGAAAGAAAGAAAGAAAGAAAGAAAGAAAGAAAGAAAGAAAGGTAATTTAGAAAAAAATAGATAAAATGAAAGAACAAATCCAACCAAGAAAGAAAGAAAAAGAAACAAAGAAAGAAAGAAAGAAAGAAAAAGTAAGTTAGGAAGAAATAGACAGAAAGAATAAAAAAAAAAAAGCAAATAAAAAAAAAGGTAGCAAGAAAGGCGAAGAGAGGAAAAAGAGGTATGATTGCTTGAATGCGACCATCCAACACATGAGCGCAAATAAATTGGAAAAGCTGGGTTCATTTGGTTTTCACAAATCGAGCGGGAAATTTGATGCCACACAACCGTTGGTTGAGAATTTCATTTCCAATTTTACACGAAAGAAACCCTGTGTCAAAACCAGGTTTAAATGGTTTTCCTTCCTTCTGGGAACCAATCAGGCGTTCGTCATATTAAAAACAACAAAAACAAAGATTTTACTTCAGTAGAATATGTAAGTACTTTTTTTTTTTCTAAATTTAGTCTACGAGTGAAGGTAACGATTCGATTAAACAAACCTGAAAATTTTTGTTGAAAAATGAATTTTTCGTCTTTCATTTTTTTTTCTTTTTTTTTTTTTGTACGCTTTGATTTAATATGAACTTTATTTCTTCGGAAACTTAGGTTTTTAGAAAGCGTTTGTTCGTTTTTAACAGATTTAACTTAGCGAAGAATTTCATTTTTTGTAACTCTTTTCGAAGATTAGTATTCATTTGAGCTTTCTCTGGCAATGACATTCGTCAGAATCAGAAAATATTGATTTTTGTCATCTTAGAACTGGGGGTCTGTTCATAATATAAAGTGTCAAATCAGTTCATAACTTCTTAACGAGTTATCTATACTTTGTTTTTATTTACAAATTGCAAGTTTAAAGCCGTGCCTACCTCAATAATATAGTTTTGCAGCTCAGATGAGACACTAGGTTCATTCCAGGGTGAAAATTCTAGTTAAATGCGTGTGGATTTGGCCAGAAATAAAACAACTAGACCAGCTTGTAACAGTTAAAAAAATTCTATATTTGCTTGTAACTTTCGGCTATAGATGAGCGAGGCTGAGATGAAGCGGGGGAAAGGAGGTGAACAGTCTAACTGGCGTGTTTTCCTTTTCGAGACCCGGGGAGTGTCCTCAATTTCCTTTCTGTCCGCTCTCTATAGGTTTTTCTGTTTTCGGCGGTAATGACTAATGTCTCATAGAGAACAACGTACTTTCATCTTTCTCTAAAAAAGTAATTTATCAAGAATCCAAGATCTTGCTGCACTCGGTGATCTTACTTGTCAGGGTCGTCCGACATGTTCTTTGTGAGGTCCACTTCAGTGATAATCATCAATGCAATAACTGTTGAAACAATTTCTGTAATATCACTCAGATGTTTTCATTTAACAAGATATCCGTTGGCACTGATATCACTACAACAATAACTGCGTAGTATTACGAATAAGAAAAAACGAAAACATTATTTTTAATTCAAAACCCGTTGAACGTGGGGCTAGCAACTACATTTCATAAAAATATACTTGCTACAGAAGTCATAGCAATATCCAGCGTGGTGAAGCTGTGGTATTGTATTCCACTGGGAGTTCCTTTGCCACTGTCGAGAAGCAGTAGTTGAACGTTTTGAAGCTGTAATGAAACTAAAATGAGGAGAGCCAAGAATTATTTTCATCTTGGAGGAAGTTTTCGGAAGTGCGGAATCTTCCCAGAAGATAATAAAAGAATATTTTTCTGCTTCAGTTGTTATAACTGATCCATACTCCGAGGTATTTGAAGTGTTTAATGTTTACTGGCACTATAGCCTATATTTTTTATCATGGATTCAGGACAAGTGCCATTTTGTAAACAGAAGTATGAAACTCATCATCCAATGTAACCATTTTATCTGCATCTCATATTTTCAGCGTAATAGACGCATCCATTTATTTAAAGCCAGTTTTGAAAAACTGAAACAAATCTATATTTATAATAACTTATCTGAGCCACTAAGACATTGAAACATGTTGTAGTGGATTGGTTTAGGCACGTGGTTAGAACGTTTGCATTCTGACCGTGAGACCAGGGTTCGAATCTCACCATGGTCAATTTATCGAACTGGACGGGTCGATCTCAGCGTGTGGCACCTTTGGAAAGTGCCTGAAAAACATACCACGGATTGACCCAAGCCTTGTGAGTGAAATTGGGTAGACGAAACCCTTGGGGGGTGGGGCGCTGATAGCTGTGTTAGTACGAAGGCACAAGTCATTTGAACAAGGCCAGCACGCTTGTTCAAATTCTTCATCACGCTAGATGTTCTTTCCCATAAAATGTAACTACGGTCTGCTCAGCATAGTTGCAGTATAAACTACAGAGGGGCTTTGTGGGTGTTGAATAAACACAAATGCGTCTGAGCAAGCGTCTGCAATAGGGACTGGCTAGCCGCCCTAGTAGACGGGTATCCTCGAATAAAAGTGGCCAGCTATACTTAGTGGATTCGCAAACAGCATTGTACGTACATTCATATGTTAAATAGAAGAGAAATGAAGTGTAAGGATGGTTGACTATTGATCACGTGTCATAGAACAGCACGATACAACAATATGTCATCACAGATAGGATGTTTAAATCGTTTGGATGAACCAGAATTTGTTGAGACTTCGATACGGCGTTTTACCCAGGCTCGGGCTAACAAATTGAAAGAAAACAAAGCAAGAGGGGAGAAAATAAAATAACTGACCACTTCTAGATTCGGCAGTTTGTAAAGCCATAATGAAAATCTCTGTTCTGGTAAACTCTAAGGAATTGGAGAATTTAATTTTTATCGGAATTTCAGAACTTATAAAAAGAAGTTGATGACCTAAAATGAAACTTGTCATCGCGGAAAGAACCAAATTTCTGTCCATTAAACAGAAACAAAATGAATCAATTATAAAATATCTTCACGGATTAAGAGAAGCTAGCAGATGCTGTGAATTTGAGAAATTTGGAACTCGTGTTTTGAATATAGAAGATGAAATGAGACCAAGATCTCGATTTAAAAGAAACATCAGGGGAGAGAGAGGAGGAGAGAGCCTCAAGAACACATGGCCCAATAGATAAAGGCGTTGGTTAGATCCAGTGACTAGAACCAAAGAGTTGTGAGTTCAATATCAGGCCACAGCAGTGGTGAACAAAACCATGGCGAGTTAAGTTTAAGGGAAACAACTGAGACACCCGGAAGAGGCATGGCACGTGGGACTAAACCAATCTACTCCTGTGTACGAAATAAAGGGTTCGGTTCAAAATTCCAATCAACTGAAGAAGGCCGGAGCGTACAACGACCGAAACGTTATGAATATGCGGATAACAGTCCGAATAATTTAAATAATGCAAGTAATCATAATACCTCATCCCAGAGATATAGACAGATAGGAGGAGAGAGCTTGCAAAAGTTCGAGAACAACCAAAGACATGAAAAATCTTCGGTTCATGGATTGGTAATGTATTGGTAAATAGGATTGTAACTATTAGAATATAGCCTGACGTGCCTTACCGATTGGGCCACAAAGGAGCGTTACAGTTAGAATTACAGTTTAAAAACAGTAAAATCGACCTATTAGCCTATATTAAGTAGAAGAGATGCAAATTGTATAGCAAACCTAGAGAAGGGGAAGAGTACCTACTGATCAAGTGTCGTAGGATAACACAGTACATCACATGTTAAAGAAAGCAGAGACAGGTTGTACGTGGCCAACAGTGTTTTTCATTGATAAACAGCTCTTCACAGCTAAAATGCTGAAGCCAGACGAAAAGCTTACTGCTACAAATTGAAAATATTGTCAGAATCAAAATCAGACCATTCACAATCCCTTTCTCAAAGACGTAACGTCGCAAGTCTCTGACTGCTCTAACGCTACTGAGAAATCTTTGAACGAACTACAGCCCTTTGTTCTACCAGTTTAAACCTTCACGGTTAACACCCTCTATACCACGCACATTGTAGTGAACCACACTCATTCCCTTTATATTCCATTGGAAAGATGTAAGTTCCACTCGAACGGCCTCTTTCCACAAACCATTGGCATGTGCAACCGACTCCTAAGTGGATGCTTTCTCCTCGCCCGAGTGCACATCAAGGATGGGAAATTCTTACGGGCGTTTTCCTTCCAGAATTCGCCCCCCTCATCCGATTCGCGACACATTCGATCTAGGAACGCGATGCGAAGCGTATATTAGTGAGCCTTAAAGCTAGGCTCGAACTGCGATATCGCCTTTCTCCTGTACCTCTGACCAATTCACTTCCAGCAAGAGATCGGGACCAAACCAGACACCGAAAATCTTGAACAACCCGTCCGTCCAAAGGAAAGGTCCAGGAAGAAAAACTCCCTTCCACGCATCCAATAGACTTATCGCGGTTGATCTCGGCCTCTGTCACCATCTCACACTCCCTGATTTCTTTGCTGACTTCGTCAATCTCGGCTCTGCTCGACACAAGAACCGAAACATCGTAACATAGGCGGAATACTTGGCAGAGAAAATTAGAGAAATTCCGCGTAGGACCGGATTTGTCTTTAAATTGCAGAGGAAAGTTTCCAAAGCAAGAACGTAGCTAAGGCGAAAGCGGGCAACCTTGACGATTGGAGTAAGACAATACGAAAGGCTCCGATCGAATCCCATTCATTTCGGATCCTACACCGAAAGTACGGCCCAGAACCGGCTGCCGAAAGGACAGCCTCCAGAAAGCGTTGAAGTATAGACCACTGATTCAACTATCTGCTGAAAATCAGTGCCAGTAAATGAACAAAAACGGGCGACTGTACAGTTCGTAGGGTAGGCCATCTAAACCTGGAGATTTGTCCCGAACAACGTGCTTCAGCGCTTCCCAGATTGGGACTCTCGCACCTAGCTGTTTTAGCTGCCTCAAGGCAGGGTAAATCGGCTAAATAGGCGTCGAACTAAGCAGTGTTCAGCCCGGGTTTCCTGGTGAACAGATCCTGATAGTAATATGCACATATGCCCGCGTTTGTAGTCACGGTTCGATTATCCGACAATGTGACGCACGCAATATGTCGACTGGATGCATTCCTAACTTCCTCTGCACGCAATTCAGTCGCTATGTTTGTTGCCTCGGAAGGAATTCTTTTTAATCTAACTACCAGAGCTTTATCCTTCTTGATAAACAAGGAAGCCTTAGCTAAAACTACTTTCCCGCTGTCACGGGATTTCACTGCCTGATCGCCCTTTTTCTCACATGCCGTTTGTGCATCTAATCTATATAGAGCCGACGATGATATTAAGCAACAAACGATCCAATT